AAAATGGACGCTAGGGACTACGGGATGGTTCACTAAAAGATCCGGAACGTCCGTAAAAGTGGTCAATTCATGAAACTAATCCTAGAACTTCTCGGTTTTTGCGAAACAACTTATAGACATCTTATCAGAATGAATTCGGCGTTGTGACCTGAATATGGCCTCTGTGGACCATGGGATGGTTAACCGGAAGATCCGGAACATCCGTAAAAGTGATTAATTCATGAAATTGATCCCAGAACTCCGCGGTTTTTTCGAAACAACTTATAGACATCTCATCAGAATGAATTCGGAGTTGTGACCTGAATATGGATACTGGGGACCACGGGATGATTCACTGGAAAATCCGGAACATCTGTTAAAGTTGTCAATTCATGAAACCGATCCTAGAACTCCGTGGTTTTGTCGAAACCACTTATAGGCGTCTTATCAGAATGAATTCAGAGTTTTGAATGGAATATGGACTCTGGGGACTATGCTATGGTCTTCCGGAAGATCCGGAACATCCGTAAAAGTGGTTAATTCACGAAACAGATTCTAGAGCTCCGCGCTTAATTCGAACCCACTCATAGACTGGTCCATAATTGAAATTGATCCTAGAGCTCCACGGTTTTTTCGAAACCACTCATAGACATCTTATCAATATGAATTAGGAGTTGTGACCCGAAAATGGATGCTGGGGGTCACGGGATGGCTTACTAAAAGATCCGGAACATCCGAAAAGTGATCGATTCATGAAACCGATCCTAGAACTCCGTGGTGTATTTGAAACCAGTTATAAACATCGTATCAGAATGAAATCGGAGTTGTGTTTGGAATATGGACTCTGGAGACTACAGGATGGTCCTTTGGAAGATCCTGAACATCCGTAAAAGTGGTCAATGCTTGAAAATGTCCTAGAGCTCTGCGGTTTTTTCTTTTCGAAACCCTTAATTCAGAGTTGTGACCAGTAAATGGACGTAAAGTATACCATAGTACAATCTGTTAAATATGTTTACTATTTCAATTGCTAAAAAAATATCAAATTCTCCAAAAAGTGCACAATCCAATGGTCTCTTCAATATTTAGATGGTTATGAGTAGTATGGGTTCCCTTCACCTTTCTAAGTAGATGATTGATAAACTTTACATCCGATCCCTTGAAATTGGATCAGTTTCATGAATTGAACACTTTTACGGATGTTCCAGATCTTCCGGTGAACCAATCCGTGTTTTCTACGATTAATATTCCGGTCACAACTCATAACATTCTAATAGGACGTCTTTAAGAGATTTCGAAAAAACCGCGGAGCTCTTGGATAAGTTTCATGGATTTACCACTTTTAAGGATGTTCCGAATCTGCCGGAGGACCATAACGTGGTCCCCAGGGTTCATATTACAGTCACAACTCCAAATTCATTCTAAATAGTCGTCAATGAGAGGTTTCGAAAAATCTGCTGAGCTCTAGGATCAGATTCATGAATTAACCACTTTAACGGATGTTCCGGATCTTCCGGTGGACCATCCCGTGGTATCCAGTGTCCATATTCCAGTCACAACTCCGAATTCATTCTGATAAGATGTCTAGGAGTGGTTTCGAAAAAACCGCGGAGCTCTAGGACCAGATTCATAAATCGACCACTTTTACGGATGTTCCGGATCTTCCGGTGGACCATCCCGTGGTCTCCAGTGTCCATATTCCAGTCACAACTTCGAATTCATTCTGATAAGATGTCTAGGAGTGGTTTCGAAAAAACCGCGGAGCTCTAGGACCAGATTCATGAATTGACCACTTTTACGGATGTTCCGGATCTTCTGGTGGACCATCCCGTGGTCTCCAGTGTCCATATTCCAGTCTCAACTTCGAATTCATTCTGATAAGATGTCTAGGAGTGGTTTCGAAAAAACCGCGGAGCTCTAGGACCAGATTCATGAATTGACCACTTTTACGGATGTTCCGGATCTTCCGGTGGACCATCCCGTGGTCTCCAGTGTCCATATTCCAGTCACAACTTCGAATTCATTCTGATAAGATGTCTAGGAGTGGTTTCGAAAAAACCGCGGAGCTCTAGGATCAGATTTATGAATTGACCACTTTTACGGATGTTCCGGATCTTCCGGTGGACCATCCCGTGGTCTCCAGTGTCCATATTCCACTCACAATTTCGAATTCATTCTGATAAGACGTCTAGGAGGGATTTCGAAAAACCTGCTGAGCTCTAGGACCAGATTCATGAATTGACCACTTTTACGGATGTTCCGGATCTTCCGGTGGACCATCCCGTGGTCTCCAGTATCCATATTCCAGTCACAATTTCGAATTCATTCTGATAAGTTGTCTAGGAGTGGTTTCGAAAAAACCGCGGAGCTCTAGGATCAGATTCATGAATTGACCACTTTTACGGATGTTCCGGATCTTCCGGTGGACCATCCCGTGGTCCTCTGGGTTCATATTCAGGTCACAACTCCGAATTCATTCTGATAAGACGTCTATGAGCGGTTTTGAAGAAACCGCGGAGCTCTAGGATTAGTTTCATAAATTGACCACTTTTACGGATGTTCCGGGTCTTCCGGAGGATCAGGCTCTTGACGTTCCGGATGCTAAATGTTCCCAAAAGGTGGCAAATATTCTGTTTAATAACTTTTCAGAAGACACCAGGAAGTTATCTCTTCAAATTACCCTACAATAAGAGTTTGTCCCCAATTAGCTCTAATCCCATATGCTACGTGTATTCGTTAATGCCGGTTCCTATAGTGCGGTCCCTATTAACCGTACTATAGGAATCTTGACTGTATTATAGCGCCCGTCATAAGTAACATAAAAGTGAAGCGCCTCTAGCGGCGTAGTTCCCAATTTAACCTGAATCCAATGGCACAGGCTTGTTGGTCTAACCCAGTACAGCAACTTTGTCGAAGACAGTATAGCTTTATGTATTGAAACAAATGAGATAATCCACTACAGCCCCCATTAGTGAAAATCCCATAAGCTGTGGGTATCCTTATTCGCGGATAGCCCGGCAATAAGGATCCGGCAATAAGGGATACCGGCAATAAGGAATCCGGCAATAAGGATTCCTGACTGTAGATAGAGATTAAAGAGTAAGAAGCCAGTTGTCTCCTCTTCCTCCTAGGTGATTTATATATGTGGGTACACTTTGTGAAAACCAAAAATGGAACATGTAACGACATTATGTATTTTCAATACATTCAATAATTTTATCACCAATCAATCAGAAACATCTCCAGCAGTGCATCTGACTGATTTTCAAAAAGAAACTATTAAAAAAATGGTAAATGTCAATCATTGTCTAAAAGCGTCGAAATAACTATCAAATCCACCAATTACGTACATGCATATGCTGCTTCCCCAACACAGTCATCAGAGAGTCGTTAGTAGACGAAACAAGTCGAAGTGGCATTCGCCTCCGATCTTCGAGCGTGTGCAAATAGGGAGAATGCAATTGCGTAACATTTTGCACACTCATCGCCACATTCAAAATCACACGTCCCCAACGACCACACAAAATGCTCTCGAGAGTTGTAATCTTGTAACCAAACTTGGAAGCAGGGGTGCAAGTGGTTTTGATCGATTCTCTTCATCGACTTTCTGTTTCATTAATAGCTCGACGGCAAATACATTCATTGATACGTTTGTGGTTCTGGATGATAGAAGAGCATAGCAGAAATAGTGCGAAATAGGTTAGTGAAGCCATGGTCATCAAAAGAGGAAATCGATGACTTTCACCCCTCTGTTTCTAAGTCAGTCATCGTCTTAGCAATAAAAACTAGCATCGCACCGCTTTTGGTTCTTGCGTTACACTTGCTGGTTGCAATTCTGCTGTTGGACATTTTCGAATGACCACCAAAAAACATGAAATTACACTATTTTCTAGGGATGCCTAAAAGTCCAATTATTCGATTAACGACTATTCGTAAAGATTTTTCCAGCTATTCGATTAAATTATTATCGAATTTTCAATTATTTGAGCGCGCAACCGACATCCCTTCTTATTTCTTCTCGTTTGATTTAGCGCAGTAGAGAAAATAAATAAAAGTACTAATTTATCTGAACAGCAATAGAGAAGAACCATGACGTAAAACAGGATCATAAATTCACCAAAAAAGTGTTAAGCGTCTTTCTGCTAAAGGTTAAGATTTACCAACTTGTTGAAAGAAGGAGGTTAACGAGAAAAACTAAAAAGGGTAGGAGCTTTAGCTGGGTGGTGGGTGATATTATGCAGCCTTACAACCTGTCGCAGACACCAGTTCAACCCCTGTCCAGCAGCAGGCGGGCCGAGAATCTTGCGAGTGCCCAATCATCGAACCGAAGAATATGGGATTGTCCGGTCCGATTTGCTGATCCCACTGCCTACACGTTATCATCTTCCAAAAGCTTAAAGCCTGTACTACCATCGGCCCTTTTCAGGGCCACCAAGATTTTCCAAAAGAGTTAAATTTCTGAACATGTCCTACCTAAAATTCATATCAAAATGTTCTTTTCAGGGTTAGTCATACTAAAGAGTATAAACAGAGAGAACCCCGCTCAAATTCCTATTCCTACACAAAATACAAGCTCCTGCTACAGTTAACAAATAGCATTTATTATATAAGATCACGTTTCCTACGTCACCATTGCGTACAACCCCATAGGGCTGTCCCTTGTAGTTTTTACGGTGTTCCCTGCTCAAAATTTTCCCCAGAATTTTCCATTGAGTGTGCCTAAAAGCAACCTAACATCATCTTCTGTCGAACTGTGGTGCGAGCTTAACGAGAAATTCGTTTATTTAGCCGTGGTAAACCAAAGAGAAAGTCGATGCAAAGAATCGATCAACGAGGATAGGCCCTTTTCAAAATATCATCATTAAATTTAAAACAACAAAAATGTAAGCCCTTGTCAAAAGTTGGTCGTGAAATGATGAAAAATATTTATATTTATCTCATTCTATCAAACCATCCTTCGATCTATCCTACTCTGAAATTCTTATCCGTGCGGCTGATTTTGCACCGGCTACTGCATCTGTTACCTTTTGCACCTGCCTTCACTGTCGTCCCAAACCCGGAGTCGATCAGGGTCGGCGTCTTCCGTCCTCCTCCGCCGCCTCCTCCTCCTCCACCTCCATCTTCCGCTTGGCAAACTGCAATCACGAGCATCGTCACGATCAACGCTACGGAGAAAAAACAAGACAGAAAATGAACAAAAATAAGCACACCGGAGGATTAGGTAATCCACTTAACACCTGAGAAACCAGGTTCACGCGTTCGAAAATTTAGGCCATCACCACCGCTGTCGCCGTCCGAATGCAACCCACAAAGCACACATTTTAAGAGGAAGTGGGAGAGGTAGACGGAGTTAACGCCACTAAGTATGTTGCACCCCCTGCTGGATCTCTCTAGGCCTAGGCCGCAGCCCAGTGATTGAAAAATCGCCGATTATCTAATCGATCGGACGTGCAACGGCGCAAACGGTGGTGGCGTCCATCCGTTCGAGGCATGTTTTGACGTTCGCTCGCTCTCTTGCACGCAATGGCCATTCATTCATGCACAGTTCCATTCAACATCGTCGCCCCTTGGACCCCCCCATCGGTGTGTCTCGGGGGCTGGTTTGTCAAAATACATTAAGACCTTGTCCAAACCATCGTACGCCCCTGAAGCACGTGGACGTCAAGACAAACACGCGGAAATGCTCCACGACGTTGTTGCTGCACGGGGTTGACTAAACGGAACTTGTTACTTGATACGTGGAGACGAGGGGTGGACGCCCCGCACGAAGAAATGCCTTGTACGAACCGACGTTTAGCTACGACGACCAGGCCGATGGCAGCAAAGCGATGTATTGCGACGGCAATAACCAAAACAAACAACCGATAGGGTTGTAGAGCAAAAAGCGACAACGACGCTGGCTGGCTGGTTTTACACGCCGATCGCAAATAGATAGACTGTAAATGGCGTGAAATTGCTGTGTGCATATCTCACGCTAAGACCCTTGCGGCATTGTTGCTTACAAATGCTTACCGTCCAGACAGACAGCCAGCGCGGGGCGGAAGCAAATGATAGAAACGTTCAATGATGGCTTGGAAAAAAAATAATAAAAGCCGATCAATTGATCCGCGGATCAAAGGCCTCTGCTGGTTTGGCTTTAGATTGCGATGCGATGTATACACCCTTTTTGTCTGGGAGCGATAATTTTTGCTAGATATCGGGAAGTGGTTAGGTATTGGCAAGCCGCAGTGAAAGTGACTTATGGATTGACAGATTTGCGCAACACACGTCCCACGTCGTCACGTGTTTGTGTTAAGCGCCAGTTGGAGATCCGCTTCAAAGAATGGCAATCATTTTGTGATTTTGGTCCCGTCGAGATTAATCTGGGCGTGAATAGGTGTTAGGTCATGAGTGCGACGACAATAGCTGTTCCGGATGTTTAGTATTATTCGTACGATGATTCACAAATGAAGATTGGATTTCTTTACGTAGACGTTTGGAGATTCGAAACAAATAATGTACAAACAAAAATGCCCGCAAGACAAACGCTGTAGACAATCACTTCAATAAAGCTAAAGCTAAAGTGTCCGAAGCACGACCGCATTATTGACTTTGCATCCAAGGGGTAATCAACTCTGCACACTGTGCCGAAACACATCACGGTACTATAACTGATGTAAGAACTCAGCACTCACCAACTACCTACTCGGAGATCAAACATACAGCACCCGGTCGACTCAGGCGACAAGAGCAAACTCCGGAACACCCAGGGTCGGCTAGCTACCGGGTAATCAGAGGGTTTCGCGATACAAAAAAACGAAGAACTTTCACTTTTCTTTAAAGGCGTTTATTTGCCACTTTCTGTGTTGTGTGCGTGTTGTTCTGTGTTCATAATTTCGTGTAATATGTGTCGTGTAGCCTAATCGTTGTTTACTGTACCGGTACATACCTCTGCTGCCGTTGATGGTGAATCGGGATGGCCGACACAGTGACTCCTGTCCTACTGTGCGGCCGGAACTCTCGCCAGATTGGCGAAGCGAGCGGATGAAAGGCCAGCGGGCGTTGCTGGACGGTGGGATGGCAGGCGTCGTCCTTCGTTGGCACGATCGGCCGACCGTGGCAAGGCCACCTTGGTCAAGCCGAGAAGGGAAAACTCCTTTGCGATTATGGCCTACGTTTGGCCAGATAGTATTGTTTCGGCTCGGAAACTGTTTCCAATATTTCTCGAGCCGGCCGTGTGCTGACGGATGACCTGAACGTTAAATTTCCCTAGCGCACACTAGCTGTTGCTAGGGGGGGGGTCCTGGTTCACGTTCAAAAACAGCAACCTCTTCTTCTTCTTTTTCTTGTTCGCATTTCAAGCTTATTACTTAGCGCATATTAGCTTATTGCCTGCTCTCAACTTAGTGTTCTTCTAATGCACTTCCACAGTTATTAATTGAGAGCTTTCGATGCCAATACCAATGCATGAATTTATATATTGTGTGGCAAGCACAATGATACTCTATGTCCAGGGAAATCGAGAAAATTTCCAACCCGAAAGATTCCCTCGACCGGACAGGGAATCGAACCCGCCGCCTCTGGCTTGGTAATACCGTGCCTTTACTGACTAGGCTATGAGGCCACAGCAACCACTGTCATCCAGTTATGCAACTAACGTGATTGCAACAGTGGCTTGTCCTTTCCGGCAGTGACAATATCGGTAATCACGGTTTACATGGGTCAATTCCACAGGCACGGTGCCAAGTTACATAGCGTCATACAAATCATCCTCCTCGGATGATCGTTCTTCATAGCCACCCTGTTTAAGTAATCAGGATTCGTTCAATAAATATTATGATACCCTATTGTGAAGTCTTTGACAGATAGGTTATTTTTGACCTTGTAAGTTGCGGGTAAACCTGCAGCCTATAGCTGGCCCGATTTATCCCGGCGGGGGCGGCCTGGAGCAAGGGTACTTCTCCAAAAGACGTTCGGATTTAGGTGAAACAAAACAACAAAAAGAACATGCAATTTTCGACGTCTACTTATTTTGTCTAACCTGACCTTCCCTTTTCCTCCTCGCTATCATCGGTGCCTCGATGGGGTCCTTCTATGGCAGCGGCAGCGGTTTCTGTTCACGATCTGTGCGGAGCGTCTTTTCTCCTTCACTTTTGGCCTTTTTCGGAACCCCCCGGCGACGTTGGTGAAGAATCACAGGATTACCTACTCGCCGTAGGCAATCCCGGTAGACACCGCATTGTTTCTGCCCAGGCGGACTCACCTCTGGGAATGCCTGCTTCGTCCTGCTTGACGATTAACTGCGGTGGCGAGACTAGCTCTATTGGCTGAGCCACCGCAGTAAGGACGGCGGTTGTTTAACGGATCCTTAATGGTTCGCCGGGAAAGCGAAAGACTCCTTCACGCTTAGCTTCCCAGTGGCGGCTATCCAACACCCTTCACTATGCCCAGTTCACAATTCACTTTTCGGGGGAACTCCACTATCACACACCCGACGATGCTGGAGATGATACACTAGACTGATGCAAATTTTGACATTTTCGCTCCACAGTGCTCAAACGGTTCCAAATTGGGTCCTGATTAGTCTCCCAAAATTTAAACTCATTTGAAAAGAAACTGACTTGGCACAAACCATTTGAAGTTTATATGGAAATTACTATGGGAAATCCAAACTTTTTGTTCATTGTCTTCTTACCTTTTTCCATATTGCACTGTTCAAAAATTCAAAAGCTATACTTATGGAAAATTTTCTAAGCTTCAACTTAGCAGAATATAGTTGTTGAGCCAAACGTCAAATAAAATAGTTATTAATTGTTTAAGAGATTGATAATCTTATGGCATGATCAAGCAGCTGTTTTGTGAGCAACACTGTATCTTGCAGTGTGACATAGTAGCCATGATTTTTGTGCTCTATTCCAAGCGCCAGAAACACCAATGTTGCCTGCTGAACAGTTGATTGAGCATAATCTTAAGACATTAGTGGCTTGAATTATTAATAACTTTTGATGCTAACATTATATTGAAAAGTGGTTCAGGACAAAGTTGTAGTTGAGAAAATTTTCTACGAGCTCAGTTATCATTTTTTAAAGCAGAGCTATATGGTAAATTGTTAGATGGATATGAACAAAACATTTGGTTTTCCCATAGTAATTTCCATATAAACTTCAAATGGTTTGTGCCAAGTCAGTTTCTTTTCAAATGAGTTCAAATTTTGGGAGACTAATCAGGACCCAATTTGGAACCGTTTGAGCACTGTGGAGCGAAAATGTCAAAATTTGCATCAGTCTAATGATACACCCAGCTGACGCACGCCACGAAAACCGCAATTTCACTCTTTTACCGGAAAATCAACGGACCGGGCAAAAACGCGTCGTGCTCCTTTAGTGGATTGTAACTCTCTCTCTCTTTCTACTGACAATCACGGACAATAACAAAATCGCCATCATTCTCCTACAACCGCGCTCGACCGTTATGCTGATTTATGTTTTCGCCTTATTTTGCAGCGGGAGGATAAACGGGACCTAACTTCATTTCAAACGCGAAACAATTTAAAACAATCATTTTTCCCTACATTCTAGAACACCTAACAGAACTATTTGAATAAAATTAAAGACAATAACTACGATTAAAAATATATATTACAAAAACAGTGGTGAGCGTGCGTCCAAAATAAAAACAAATCATGACAGACAAGACACACGCTCATGGCAAACACGTTAAAGGGGTGGTTAATAATTGTCACCCTTGACGAGGGTTACAACTTCCATCGTTGATATCTTACAAATAACAATTCCATTATTCAAATTACCATGACCAGTAGATGGAGGATTGTCGATTGTGTTATTACTTTGCTTGATTTAATGATTGTTAGCTAGAAATTAGCGAAGGAAGTCAAAAGTGACAGTTACGTTACGTCGATGTATACCTGAATACATTTCAACAACCTAAACTCGATCCTCAACCCCTTCGAACCCTTTCCTTGGCATACAACAGAATCACATTCGACACCTCGAAGTTGTTCACCTCGAGCACAGAGAACAGACATCCAAGCTTAAACAAATTGTTTGGAAAATTATGTGTAATAATTCAAATTAAAATACGCTAGAAACACTACCCTAATAAAAATGTTATGGTTAATTTGCTTAACGACGTGTTCAAGGTATCATCCAAACCATTTGTGGAATAG